AGATCAACAGCAAAGGGGGCCAAATGCCAAACAAAGGAGCTGCAACTTTATTCTGTATGCAAGGGGGACTGCTGAGATTATTCCAGTAGAATAGGGACAGGAGCCAGCCAGGATTCTACAAAAGAAACTGGGATGTGACAGGCAGTCAGGAGGAGAGTGTGCCTAGGACGGAAAGCCCTGATGACTTGCTGAGGATGAGGAACAAAGCAGTGGGAACAAATAAGGAAGATATTTGAGAATGTGGGAGCAACAGAACTTGGTTACTAATTCACACCTCAAAAATCTCTCAGTTTGGATGGATCTAAATAGAACCATTGTTCTTAATAAAAAACTATTATGAGCCTTTAAAACAATATAGATAAATCAGCACCGAGAATTCCACTCTGCTTTCTGGACTTTGGATCCTGTGGGAAGATGTGAGTTGTGAAGCAAATCTATTTCTAACCACTTACTTGATTCTAGGAGGTGATTAGGCACTTCTCGTCTTTTGGGGGGCTCCTCCACTAGACTCTTCAAAAGGAGAGGTGATATGTTATTAAATGGTTCTTCAGCATTCTTTAGTTCTCTGCTGGGGGTTTTCACCACTGCCATTTTATCATGAAAAATAGAGTCTTCTCTTTAGAGCCAAAGGTCATTTCCTGGGAAGAAAACAGTGGCAGTATAATCATCCATGAGAAACCACACATATTTTTCTCAATACTTGACAAATGTACCTCTTGTCACTGCATAGTTTACTGTGGGGCCCTCCTGCCTCTAGTCTCTCTGATGGCCACTCCATTCCCACACACGGCTGTCCCATTAATCTCCTTGCATTACACATCACAACCCAATATCGTGCCATTGCTCAATACCCTTTCGTGGCCCTTAATTCTCCTCAAGAGCTTTTTCCAAAATATAGTCCTGACATGCTTCTTGAGCTATTAGTAGGGGCACGGAAAGAAGAAAATAAAGGTTCTCACAGTCGAATAAGTTTGTAAAATGTTGAAGTAAACAATTTAAACAGGCCTCTTCGTTCTGAGATTTTTCCAAATCAGTATCTTAGATGTATGTGGCCATGAAACCCTTTAACATTTTGAGACATTATTTACAGGACACTGTGATTTATCGGGGGTCGGGGGAGGGGGCTCCTCCCACAGTGACTGGGTCTTTCCCAGGAGTTCTGTTTTCGGACTGAGGGTCCCAGTTCATGTCATTCCCTTTATCAGACTTGCCTTCCCTTAACACAGTCATTTTAACTTTCACCTTCTTCATAAAGTCCACACTGATCCCAACACCCTTTTAACATTCTTCAGCAATTACTGCCTCTTCTACTCATTTGGTGTTAACAATTTACTGACTTGTAATGGCACTTTATAAATCCCACACATCTTTATATCTTCCCCAGCTAAGTGTCTTAATTTGGAGCCCTTGTACAGGCTGGGNTCCCTTTATGGAAGTAAAACAGTAAAATATGGCAAAAATGCACAGTTTGGTCTTCCATCTTCAACTTGTAAAATCTCCAAAACTTAACCAAATTGCTCAATTTTTTTTAGAATGAAGCTGGAACTGTCAGCTGTCAAATGACATAGCAATAACATAGATGCGAATGACTAGTATTTCCAAAAATGAACTAGTGTCATCTGTTGCAAACACGCGTCATGACTTTTATGACAACCCAATAGGACCCCGTTGGAGATATTCTGATGTCCTTCTCAGTGTGACTTTAGTGGGTTGTGCTGAGGTCATTAAGATTGTAGAGCTGATTTAAATGCTCAGGTCCCTTTTAGCACAGGAGTTAGAAATCCTGTAGTCACCCACAACCCACTACAGTCTGAACATCCAGATTGATGAAGGGGATGCAGCAAGGACTGGACCTCGGTGTGGCTCTGTGGTGGACTGTAGGCTTCGGCTATTTTGCAGCCATCCTTTCAGCTGTCCCTTCTGAAGCCTGTTCAGTGGAGCTGACCCCGCCACCCCAGATCTGGCCAGAGCCTCTCTGACTAGAATGACTGATGTAGGCATGGGCAACTGACTAGGGCACGTGAAACAGAACCCTCGCTGGAGCCTCTTAGGAAAGGGACACCCCTTCCCCTGGTGATGTGTAGGCATGGAGCTTGGAGGAAAGCAGCCTAAGAGACTGTCTGTCTGTATCACTTAGTGGCTTTGTGTTCTTCAGCCAATTATTTAACCTTTAGGAATCTGTGTTTCCACATCTATATAATGACAGTAATATTACAATGACCACAGGGCTAGTATAAGGACTAAATTGAATTACCTGAGACACAAAGCACAGTTCCTAGCCCCTAAGAGTCATTCAGCAGTGACACATGGTTGGAAAGAGTGCTGGGAAAAGCCTCAGGCAATGGCGAAGTAACTTGTCCAAGGACACTGATGCAACTTGAAAATTTCTCATCCTTGAACTACCTTTTTGGTCTAATTTACACCTGCACATCTGCTGTTCTTTAGATAAATGAGTAATATAAATGCAGAAAATTCATGTCTATCATTATTATGATGAATTATCCCACTTCAAAAGCACCTACCAGAGTCTGTTGGTGTTGCTTTTCTACTTGATAGCCTCCAAAATGCAGTATGCCAGGCTTTGCTTGTATGACCTTATTATTCAGAAGTTTTGCATAAACCTCTATAAAAACAATGCAGATAAGTACATCATGAGATGAGACGTAAAAGAAAATATTAAATGAAAGAAGATCCTATTAACATGGGCTCCTTTTCATTTAGGATATTTTAAGCATATGAAAGTTTCAGAGGATATAGCTGTCAGCAAGATTAATGGTCTGTTCCCAATGAACTGCGCTGGCTCTCCCTCTGTTTTTACACATCACTTGGGAGATATTATCATCACAATCCAAATTCAAGTGTACTGTTTATTACCCATTTAAAAAATTTGCTCTTCACATTTTGTACAAGTCTTCATAACAAAACACAAGCTCATAAAGCTCACATACCCTGTCTTCATGTAATACTGTGCTCACTTATTATGTAATGAATGCCCACTTCAAAGATTCTAAACACTAAGTGTTGAATTTTATTACTGCATATTTAACTGCTTGATTTGATTTCCTTTGACTAGAATTACAATGTGATATAATCTTAAAGCTCGGAATAATTATTGCTCTGGACAGTAAAGTCTCAAACTATTATTACTGTAACATGAATATCGTTGTTATTTTTTTCCAGTTTTGAGAACAAGGTTAAAACAGCTGAGCTCACAAAAGTGTCCAGGTCTACAAAACTTCTCCTAGCTCTTCACGTAGGCATGAGCTGAGATGTGTGGAGAAGGCACTGAGAACCTACTGCACAATTGTTTCTGTGCCTCCAGTGCTTTATGCCAGGCATGCATTTATAATCCTCACTCCAACCCTCTGAGGTTGGTATTATCTCCATTTTGCAGATAAGGGAGCTGAGGCTCAAGAAGAGTAAGCAACTTGCCCATAGCTGGTAGTTAAAAATCAAGCCCAGGCCTGTCTGATTCCAACCACTAAACTACCTCCCTCAATATGAATGCATTGTTCAGTTTCTTACAAATGATCCCC